AACGGGGCCCCCGGTAGAATCGAGACAAAGAAAACCCTAAACCCTAAACCCTAAACCCTAAACCCTAAACACTAAACCCTAAACCCTAAACCCTAAATCCCAAACTATAAACCGCTAACACTTCACCTAAACCCTAAACCCTAAACCCTAAACCCTAGGGATCATCGAGGCGCAGCCGCCAGCTACAGATACAAACCCTAGGCCTCAGGCCCCCAGTACTAAACCCTAAACCCTAAACCCTAAACCCTAGAGAATACAGTAGAGGCGAGCATAGCCTCAGTAAAAGCTAAACCCTAAACCCTAAACAATAAACAATAAACTGTGGAGGGGGGGCCCCCACCACGCAGCTGGCGGGGCCCCCGATGAGGCCCGGGGGCCCCCCAGGCAGCAGCAGCAGCAGCAGCAGCAGCAGCAGCTGGTATAAATACTAAATAATAGTAATTTTTTTATTATATTATTTTTATAATTATATAAAAAAAATAATAATATTAATATTTAATATTTTGTGTTGGTTGAGGTGTATATACACCGCAAGGAATACAGCTGTCTCCTTTTTTGGTGTCTCCTTTTATTATAATACATTTTGGGGTGTACATGCAGCTAATAAAGAAAAAATAAAAAAAAGAAAAACAAAAGGAGACAACAATCCCCGCTTGTCTGTGTGTTGTTGTGCGCCCCTCTTTAGTCTCTAGGGTTTAGGGTTTAGGGTTTAGGGTTTAGGGTTTAGGGTTTAGGGTTTAGGTATATTTATGGTTGTGTGGGGTGTACAGGCATCTCTATCAGCAGCTGCTGCTGCCTGTCTCCTCTGTCTCCTTTTGTCTCCTCCCCTTCTTTCTTCTGTCTCCCTTTTCTCTCTCTCTGTCTCTCTCTGTCTCTCTCTGTCTCTCTCTCTCTGTCTCTATCTCTATCTCTTTTTGTCTCCTTTTCTCTCTCTTTCTGTCTCTTTGTTTTTCTGTCTCTTTCTTTCTCTATTTATATCTGTCTCTTTATTTCTCTTCATTTTTCTCTGTCTCCGTTTGTCTCCTTTTTGTCTCCTTTTGTCTCCTTTTTGTCTCATTTTTGTCTCCTTTTTGTCTCCTTTTTGTCTCCTTTTGTCTCCTTTTGTCTCCTTTTGTCTCTTTGTGTCTCCTTTTGTCTCCTTTTGTCTCCTTTTGTCTCCTTTTTGTCTCCTTTTTGTCTCCTTTTTGTCTCCTTTTGTCTCCTTTTGTCCCCTTCCTTGTACTGCATTAGCCTCCGAGGGGGCCGTCATTTATAGTACGCACTGAACGCCTGAGGCGGCAGCAAC